TCCAGAAAAACACCACATATAACAAAACAAATAATAAATGGAAAGAGAAAGGAAATTAAGTATTGACAGGAGGGAAGGCCTGAACATATAACCATGCTTTTAGTTGACACTTAAATATGCCCAGCATAGGGGTTGCACGAATCGCTGGAGGAAGGTTAAGTTTAGGTGAATCTTAAATATGCCCAGCATAGGGGCCGCACGAATCGCTGGAGGAAGGTTAAGTTTAGATATCTGGCTGTGGAGCCAGAGATTGGGAGTTTGATTCCCCACTGTTTCTTGGCCAAACTGTGGTCTTTGGCAAACTGCGCTGTCCCCAGGCACCACCAGAATTAGGTAACAGTAAAACACTTCTGTGTATTCTCTACCTAGAAAACCTTGGAAAGGGTCATCATAAGTTAGAATCAACTTGATGGGCATGCAATCATTTATTATTTATCAGTTCACCCATATAACAATGGGGAATGATTGGTCAAAGGGAAAAAGTGTCCATACAGCACTTGAAGCTGTTCCTCCACACTGTCTCCCATTTGCAATTTCAGGATTTAGAAACCAAAATTTGATCATCATCATTTGAAATCCTGGTTTGGAAGAAAAGCCAAAACAATAATTCAGTTGTTTAGATCTAACAGGTTCAGTTCAAACACTAGTTTTCACACAACCCATAACACATGCCTGGTCCCCTTTTGGCACCACTACTATGCTGTCTACACACAGAGAGGGAGGACTGATAAGGATCAGGCTGCACAGTACATGTGGAATGCCTCTGAATTGTATTCCGGTGTGTATACAGTTAGAAAAGGACAGAAAAATGGTGAGAACAATGTGTGCTGCTTTGCTGTCTCTCTCCATGCAATTAGAACAGAAGAGAATAGAAATGAAACTAAGGTCTGCTGCAGAGCAGACATATAAGTTTAGAAAAATGCACAGATGAAGAAAGGGGAATAAGAAGATGCACCAGCACAGAAATTGTTCCTGTATTACTGAACAGTACTTTTGCATTGTGTGCAAACCTATCTTGAGATATATTTACTCAATATTCAGGCCTGATTTTGTGCAAATAGAAAAATAAACATTATTTTTTAAAAAACCACAGGCAAGCTGGAAAAAGAAAAAGCCAAGCGCTTGGTACATAACTACAATCAAATTTTTGATCTGTGCTTTAGTCCACTGAAAATCGATGAAGCATTTAGACCTTTCTATCCTGGACAAGAGATGCCACTGGAACCTCTGCTGAATTACTTAAAGGAGCTGTAAAATGTATAATTAACACAGCAATCATTGTATATGTATGTGTATTTGCTTTTTGAGATTCTTACCCATTCAGTATCTGCTGCTATTTTCCACATGTCAGCCAGCCTTTATTTTCACATGATGAAAAGAAAATGCACACACATGCATGCAGGGAGACTATCTTACCACCTGTGACATTCCCAAATCTCCCTCAATTTTGAAAGCTAGACAGGGCCAGCCATTAGTAAAGTTCTCAGATTGAAATGTTCTCACTTTGAAGTCTGGATCATGTACATATCAAAATTTGACGTTTATACTGGAGAACTGAGTAATTTTTCCACTGAAGGCTACAATACGACCACTGTATCTATAGGGGATTGGTTCCAAGAATTGTTGAAAGCATGGGTATAGGAACACCATATATGGCATAATCTCTGGCTCCTTCTAGAGGCTAGTTCTGGTAATACATCTTGAAAATTCGTGTTTGTTTTGTTTTGTTTTGGAGGGGTGTTATTTAATATTTTCAGGAAGTGGATAATTGAAACTGTGAGTGCTAATCCCAGGGATACCGCGGTCCTACTGTATTTCCTTTGAAGAATGGCAAAATTTATGGAAGGAGATTGCAGGTGAAAATTAATTTCCAAAAAGACAATGGACAAAAGAAGTTTTTTATGATTATTAAAATTTTAATGAAAAAACGGTAACACATTTATCTAGTGGAGTTTTCAATTTAAATCTGAAATATTACTAAAGTCCCTGTGCTGACAAACCAAGCTGAGGATGCAGTACAGTTATATTATTAAAACCTAAATAGATAGCTAGTGACACTATTATTAGGACTAAGCAAAATGAGCCTAACCTAAGCAAGTTTTTGGATCCAGTACTACCTCTGGCTATGTAGTACAAAACCAGGAGGAAGGAAAAATCTAGATTCTCCCATTTTTGAATCTCCTAACCTGATAAAGAGTTCTGGATAACTTGAAAGCTTGCATACTTTTTGTGTATTTTGTCATTAATAAAAAATAAAATAATAAAAATATGCCCATCTATGGAGTGGGGATTATTTTCTTATGGTTCAACATGTCCACCTTTGTTTTTGTCTTCAGTAGCCCCATTCGGATTTTATGCAAGTGTAATACAAGTAGCATAACTTTTGGAGGCAAATTGCAGCAGATTAAGAAACCACTTTAAACCTGATCTGTTGCACACTAGCCAAAATCTTGTTGCTCAACGATGTGCACATAACATGAGATTTCACGTATAGTACTTGTGCTAGTGACAGCAGAAGGAAAAAGGATGAACCATGGAGGACTATGGAGTTGCATGACTCAGGACATAAGAAATAATATCTACAATGGTTTCCAACTTGAGGAATTCACGTCTCAAAGTTACACCAATTCTTTATGCTTGTGGGTATAATTAACAGGATTTTGGCTATAGCCACCTGATTATAAGTAACCAAGGATGTTCTAGTGGTACATTTACCAGCAACAACCAGAGAAAAGAATCCTTATGAAAGGACTCAAACATTCTGGATTCTTTCTTGGGGATTTATTGTTGTTTAATTGTTAAGTTATGTCCGACTCTTCATGACCCCATGGACCAGAACACGCCAGGCCCTCCTGTCTTCCACTGCCTCCCAGAGTTGAGTCATATTCATGTTGGTAGCTTCGATGACACTGTTTTTTTGTTTGGTTTGGTTTTTATGTTCAGTTTCAGACCATTTTTGCACTCTCCTCTTTCACCCTCATTAAGAGGTCCTTTAATTCCTCCTCATTTTCTGCCATCAGAGTGAAATCATCTGCATATCTGAGGTTGTTGATATTTCTTCCAGCAATCTTAATTCCGGTTTGGGATTCTTCCAGTCCAGACTTTCGCATGCTATATTCTGCATATAAGTTAAACAAGAAGGGGGACAGTATATAGCCTTGTCCTACTCCTTTCCCAATTGTTCCATATCCAGTTCTAACTGTTGCTTCCTGTCCCACATATAGATTTCTCAGGAGGTAGATAAAGTGGTCAGGCACTCCCATTTCCTTAAGAACTTGCCATAGTTTGCTGTGGTCCACACAGTCAAAGGCTTTTGCGTAATCAATGAAGCAGAAGTAGATGTTTTTCTGGAACTCTCTGGCTTTCTCCATAATCCAGTGCATGTTAGCAATTTGGTCTCTAGCAGAGGCCCCTTCAAAATCTGCATTGTTCATTTAAGAAAGCCCTCTTGTCTCTCCTTGCTATTCTTTGGAAGTCAGCATTCAATTTTCTGTAACTTTCCCTATCTCCCTTACATTTTGTTTGCTCATCTTCCAGCCTTTTGTTTCTGGCCATGGAGTTTTCTTGGCAAAGATACTGGAGTGGCTTGCCAGTTCCTGCTCCAGGTGGATCGTGTTTAGTCAGGACTCTCCACTATGACCTGTCCATCTAGGGTGTCCCTGCATGGCATCGCCGATAGCTTCTCTCAATTAATTACTCCAGCCCCTTCGCCATGACAAGGCAGCAATCTGTGAAGGGGCTCTCAGGGATACTAGATATATATGTTAATTTAAATAGTAAGAATCTTGGAGAAACAGCTGAAGAGGCTTGAAAGGAATTCGGTCAGCCTCAGATCTAAGAATTAACCTTCACATGACCTATGGATGTGTCATTCTTGTACTCATTTTGAAATGGAGACCTTTCCTTATTCAGGAAATCTTCAGCACTGTTACTACCTGCCCTTTTGTACAAAACTGGCCCATGGACAAGCTTCTGTAACTATAGACCCAACTTGATACTGTTGGTGTTGATGTACTGTCCTTTTTTTAAAATCGTATTTTTAAAGAGAATTCTTGCTTTATGCTCACACCACTAGCAGCTTCTGCTTTCCTTTCCTGGAACAGGACCTTCTTCATTCATACTGGCTTCAGGTTTTATAAGCTAACAGCATCCCAGTTCTAACTACGAGAAGGCTGTCCTACCACAAAGTTGTTTCATGTCCTCATGCGTTGGGGACTGCACATGTTTCATACATAACTACAGTGGATGCAGTTGTCTCAAGAAAGCAAAAGAAAAGAAAAGAAACCACCCGAAACATAAAGCTGAAAAGAAGGCCTGGAAATGTGAGATATATTTACGTGTAGATGATCTGAGATACACATACAGTATGCCCACCTCACAGATTCGCCCCCCCCCATGCATGGTTCTTTAAAGTACAGTCCGCAAGGCTGTGTGTGTTTCTTTTTTTAAAAAATGGACTTGGGATTCTATAGATACTTAAGAATGAAATATTTATTTAAAGTAGCTTAGATTTTATATATCAATTCTCGTCCCAGCTTTTTTGGAAGTGAAGTTTTTTCCATCTGTTTGTCCTGCTTTCCCATCTGTTCCTGAAGTCTCACAGTTTTGCTCAATATGCTTGCAACTGCTGATATGTATGTATTTTTGAAAGGAATTCTAATAGTGGATTAGTTTGGTACTTCAAAGATAGATTGCACAGATATATAGAATGAGGGGCAGATAAAATTCTAAATGAAGAATGGTCTGATTTGTGAACCAAGTGGGCAGGAAAGTCAATTGACATGCATTACTAAATGATAATGTGTATATAGGTACACAGTAGGATGCCCATAGACATGGGGCTCAGTTCCACAATCTACTGCGGATGCCTGAATCCACAGGTACAAGGGAACTTTATATACAACATACAAGGGGGGGGCAGGATAAAGGCTAGAAATGCACACCTTTGTTTGTGGTATATAGGGCTGCAGCGAACTGTGGATAAGTGAAACTGCAGATATTGGCACCATGTATATGGGGAGGGTCCTACTGTATATATATTCCACACAAAAGTCTATATATGTAGTAATTCATGTCACTAACACACACACACCAATCACCATGTCAGTTCTGTTTACTTTCTTTAATGACTCAAATTCCTCCTTCCCTGGTAAATGTCAAAATAATAGCTTATCTACCTGACAGCCACTGCTGACTTAAGTTTGACAGCTGCCCCATCTCTATAGAACCAGCCTTATAACTGGATGAAGAATCTGTAGTGTCCTTATGCATTTACGATTCTCAGATTTAGCACCCTTACAAATAAATGTGTTTCAGTTGCAATGTAATTAGGGGCTGTGAATTGAAAAAATATCATAGTTTTTAATTACTTTTTAATTAATTACAAGCTGCCCCGAGTAGACGTTGTCTAGAGTATAGTTTCAGAGGGAAGCATCAGATCATTCCAGTGCTGGCCCATACTGTGTCTTTTACTCTGCATTCAGATTTTTTAAAAAAAGGGGGGGGGGGAACTGTAGCTAATTTTGAAACACGGAAACATAACTTGTTACTTGTAAAAACTGTAACTAGTAGCCAAACTACTCTACTTTTATAGTTCCAGAGGGAAGCATCAGATCATTCCAGTGCGGGCCCATACTGTGTCTTGTACTCTGCATTCAGATTTTTTTAAAAAAAAGGAAAACTGTAGCTAATTTTGAAAAACGGAAACATAACTTGTTACTTGCAAAAACTGTAACTAGTAGCCAAACTACTCTGGGAGTCTTGAATGGTTTTTAAAAGGAACTTTCCAAGTAGTTCCAGAGGGAAGCATCAGATCATTCCAGTGCGGGCCCATACTGTGTCTTGTACTCTGCATTCAGATTTTTTTAAAAAAAAGGAAAACTGTAGCTAATTTTGAAAAACGGAAACATAACTTGTTACTTGCAAAAACTGTAACTAGTAGCCAAACTACTCTGGGAGTCTTGAATGGTTTTTAAAAGGAACTTTCCAAGGTCTAATGAAGGAGGAGGAGGAGGAACCATATGGTCCTTGCATACATGCTGGATTAGGGGAGAAACCTGGAATAGCCACTGAAGGCAAAACGTGCAACTGGAGTGGGAAGATTTGCCATTATGAAGGACTGTTCCATCTGAGGAGGCAATCATCCTCCAATGGCTAGAGAAGACTCTTAATTTGACCCCAAATGCCATTGTTCACTTAGTGTCCTAGCTAAATCTAATGTCCAGTCCTTTATGAGGATTGCCATGTCTTTTTGTGCTTCTGCTCCCAGCCAAACAGGAGCTATAAGCATTGATGCAAGGTGATAGAGAATGTCCTGGATAATTGGCAAGCCTTTGTTTACAGAGATGAGGGAAGACAACAAATCCTCCAGTGCCAGCAAGGGCGGGAGGGGGACCAGATGCTTCCAGCTGGCATAAAAACCTTCTAGTCTCCATCTTGGGATATTATTTTACCTCAGATTCTGACACTGCAGCATCTGGTCAGGGTGATATTTGAACTATTTTTCTTCTCTCCCCACTCACCCCCTTCAAGCAATGCCTAGCCTGATGAAGGGTCCCACTGCACTCACACACTTGCCTCTTTTTTAAAAAAATATTTTAATTTTACCTCAGATATCCATAACCTGGGATGCAGAAGCTCCAGCTCATTTACATCAGTTTGACTCAAATCTTATGGGATAGGAGTGTCAGACTAGGAGAAACAAAGGATACCTAGTTTCAAATCCTTGCTTGGTCATGGAAACCCATTTGGAAGGTACGAGCAACAGTATACATCTCCTTGAACTTCTCACATCCCTCAAAAATCTCATTAAAGCCTTGGTGGCACATAATGACAGCAGCTGGCTACCTTGTATTTCAGATCATTTCCTGGGAGTAAGCCCAGGAATACAAATCTCAGAAACATCCCAAGCCACCTTGAAGGCCCTCATATCTCGTAAACAAGTGTGTGCAAGTATATGTTGAGCCTAGTACTTTAGATGGTTCTCATGGTTTTGATCCCAATTTGTCATGGACAAAGCGACAGCGTGGAGAGGGAGGGAAGCCATTGAATGGGCTGCTCCATGTTTTGAATGTTTAGAATTCATGCTGTTTATGCAGGCCAAACATCTGCTCCAGCTTTACAAAATTCCTCAGCCACAGTCACACTCTTGCACATCATCAGCACCATGCTTCAGAATAACTGCGGTGCCAAAAACACCCTTTCCAAAACCTGTGAAAAATCCAGTTGCATTCCAGGCTTCCATTCAACGCTCGCAGATGCCAGCATATT